GATAGCTGCATTTCAAACTTAGAGGCATTAAACTAACCAGCTATCTCCTTGTTTAACCTTCAAGTTTCCCAAGTATTTATAAATCTGTGTGTCTACACGTGTCCTGGAATGCCCCAGCAAAAACAGCTGGTCAAGCATATTTTATTCCTCCATCTTTCAGTATCTTTCTGTGGAAGCAGATCCAGAGCACATCAACATTTGGGAATTCTTCCTTTCACAAAGCACAGTAGTAACTTCTTTCTTTAAAATACAAGCAAAAGAGGTCAAGCATTCTATATTGCATCAAAGTAGTTAAAATACTTGTGCAGGTATTGGGAGATTTCAATAGACTTCCCAATGCAGAGGACGGTTTGCCAGTTGCTATGCTGGGCAAGAGCTCTCTCTGCTATTCCTCTCAGAGCTGTGGTAGTACAAATAGTAATTCAGGGCTCATGCAGTCAAAAGAGAGAACTACAAGGTTAAGCATTATGATTTGTCTTTTTGTCTTTGTGATTCAGATGAGTGTTTTGGGGGTTTTTTTTGTTTTTTTTGTTTTTGCAAGTGACACATCTTTGATTATGTCTTTCCTTGGATCAAGTTGTTGTCCCACCTCCACTAACATGACAAAGGCTCCTCTAGGATGATAAGTACTATGCAAGTGTAAATATCCTAAAAATTAAATTATTTTAAAACTAAAGAGCCAATTAAATCTGAGATTGGTAACCATTAGAAATCTCTGACTGAATCCTGGTAAGAGAATTATTCAGAAAGGCAATGTAATTGCTGAACAGAAGCAAGATCTTTGAATTGAATTCTTTGAGTAACACACTGAAAAACATGGTGCTCCCTTGCTGAGAAAAGCAGATCTTGAAGAAAAATCTCTGTGCAAAATAAACCAAACCAGATTAAAAGAGTGACAGACTCAGTTTTGCAGACTAGACACAACCAAATACAGTCAGCAGCAGCAAGTTACATCTTTGTCTCTCCCAGTGATGTGTTCAATTACCAAGATGAGATTCATTCAAAATGAACAGCACAGTAAGTAATTAATTGTAGTGCAGATACTTTGAACTCCAAGAGATGTGTTATGTTCTGGCTGTCACCATTCATTCTGCAAAAATCAGAATATTTCACATGTCAATTTTTTTGAAGACAGTTTCTTTCTACTTTCCAAATGAAACTCAGAATGAAGCAAGATGTGCTACAAATCTCAGAAGTTATTTACTCAACATATTATACCAGCTCTATAGGTGCTTTTGACAACTCTGTACAAGCATTAGGTAATTTCATCAGCTGAGTTTTGGCAGCAGGGATGGATGGCATCAAGGCATAGTGGATGGGGAAGGAAGCACACACAGGAGGAAGTTCCCAAAGCAAAGTGGAATGGTAGTGCTTGACAACTTACTGGGAATAAAACTGTGGTCAGACATGCCTTTCTGAATCTTTGTTTCAAGGCTATGAACTTCACCTCCTGATCAGTGCCTCCCTGAGAGAGCCTTCTGCTGTACAAATCATAATTAACTGGGCCTTATCACTGCCTCTTTTCCCAAATTACCATCTCAGTTGACAATTAGCTCAGAGCTGCTGCTTGACTAGATATAGTCATAAGTATGACACTGCACACCTTCCATATACCCTCTATGTAAACAAACCAAGTATGCAGCAGACGCTAAAAATCAATGAATACAAACTAAAGTTCTTGCTGAATCCCATTGCAAACTGTACTTAAAAGCCCTTTCCTTAGTCTTGTCTTTGGAACCTAAAAGTCCTGTTCAGCTTATGTCCATGTCTGTCTCTGTGTTTTTTCTTTTTTCCTCCATTTCCAACAGCACTGATCTAAGAATTTCTACCATGGAAGTGGTGTTTTGAGCAGACTTTTACTTGTCTTTATTTGGAGCAAAAGATGTATATATAAAATGAATTCATAAGATAAATAATCTATAATCATAGGATAATTCAGGTTGAAAGGGAATTCAGATGAATACTGTTTCACTGAGACATCCTGCATAGAATACCTCCAAGAAAATGTCAGAAAATTTCTTAACCATATTTTGAAGTGGGTTTAATCAGTTTCTCCCAAAAATGGACCAAACTGTAGCCTAGTACCTTAATGACCTAAACTTAGATTGTAAATTTCGGATCAGTTCTCATAAGAGAAATAACTTCATTTGTTTTGACAAAGCTGCAGATATTGAGAAGTTTTCTCCTGGTATCCAGAAATAAAAAAGGAGAAGTTCTCAGTATAATTTGCTGGAAACTAATGGAGCACATGAATGAATTATTTTTGTTCAATCATGTGAGCACCAGAAAGCAGAATTATTAGCACTCCCTTTATGCATGAAGGCGAAAGTGGGATTTATCAGCCCTGCATTCTCCTTTCTCCATCCCCAGTGTTTGTATTGTTCTGTGTAGGAAGACCTACATCATGTTCTCATAGATATTGTCCATTTTGAAAACTTTCTATCACATTTCAGCTTCCCCCATTGTTACAAATAACAAGACTGCTGGTAAATAGCTATGGTTATAGGTAAGTTCTTTGTGGGTTCTTAACTAAAAATCTTCATTTTTATTTCTTTATTTTTAGCTTATGACATTTCAACACTGGTTTTCTGTAGTAATAGTTCTACTTATTACTTTATTTATCATTTTCAAAAATATCTTTGTCCAGATAAATAACTGTACTTTTCTGTCTTAGTTGTGTGAAATATTAAGAATGAGCAATCTGCTGTGTGGTGCTAAGTTGCTGACTGGGGTCAACTCATCATAACAATTCCACACACTGAATTTTTTATACCTTACTCAGAACCCTAGATTCTGAAGGTTAATCAATATTTTAGAATCCAAATTTTGATGTTAAAAGAAGAAACAATAAAAGAAAAGATAACCTGCCTGCCCATTATGTTGCACGGAAAAAATCTTGAAAATTTATTCTGTTTTTAAGAACTAAGGAATGATGTGTAGAGTTGTGTTTTCAGCAGCAATGATGGTCTACTTAAGTTATTTTAATGTTTAGAGTTAGCAGCATTACCCACTTCATGTGAACATCTGTGCCCCTTTGCAGTCTCCATACCTGAAACACAGCTCTGAAGTCCCACATATGCTGACATATGTTTATACAGCAGTTAAAGGCAGAAGCTGCTCTGCCTGCAGTGCATGACTCTACTTTTGGAGGTCCCTGGTGTCTTTACAAAAGCAGCACTGGAGGTGGCTGGAAGCAGCTCTAATCCTTTTCCTTCTACTGCTGCTGTTGCTAATGGCTTCTGGCTGCTACTGTAAGGAACTGTGCCTCCTCCAGGGGATTCTTCAAGATGGATGAGGACTCCAATGGAGTTTTGTGGGAGGGTTGGCACATCAGAAATGGGAAATAGGCCTCTGAAATGGGAAATAGGCCTTTCAATTGAAGCACACAGGTTTTCCTGAGGTAGCCCATACAGCTACACTATCCCTTGCCTATCTGCAATATATAATGAACACAGGTAAATTGATCTGCTGGAACCTTTGTTAGTTTGTGTCAGACAGATTAGAAAACAACGAAATCTGAAACCCATTTTAGTGAAGTACATTGCTGTCTGGTTTCTGGCAAATAAGTTCAAATCACACTGTTTCAGACCTACACGGGAAAAAGGCAGAAGATGTGTGCAGATTTGACTAGTTGCCTTCTGTGCTGTTTTTGGTTGGGGTAGAGTTAATTTTCTTCACAGTATTTGATATGGGTCTCTATGTGCTAGAAACATTGCTGACAACACAGGGATGTGTTTTGTTACTGCTGAGCATTGCTGACACAGAGTAAAGGGCTTTTCTGCCTCTCACCAGTGAGCAGGCTGGGGGTGCACAAGGAGCTGGGGGGGAAACAGCTGGGACTGCTGATCCCAACTGACCAAAGGGATCATGACCACAGACCATGTGGCAACATGCTCAGCATAAAGCTGGGAGTAGAAGAGAGAAAGGTGGGTTGTTTGGAGCGATGGTGTTTGCTTTCCCCAGTAACCACTGCATCTGATTGAGCCCTGCTCTCCTGGGCATGGCATCTGATTGAGCCCTGCTCACCTGCCTGCCCACAGAAAACAGTGAATTAAATCATCAGTTTTCTTGGTTTGCAAGTGCAGCTCTTGCTTTACCTCCTAAACTGTTTTTACTTCAACCACCAGTTTCCTCACTTTTACTTTTCTGGTTCTCTCTCCCACTCCACTGGGAGGCAGTGACTGAGTGGCTGCGTGGGGCTTAGCTGCCACCAGAGGTTAAACCATGACATAAAAACCTAAATCATGTGGTCCAGACAGGCAAGAAGGAATCTTTGGGATTCCAAAGAAAAAAGATAATTCAAGACATTACACTTGTTTTTACCACATTCAAGACATTACACTTGTCCCACCACAGTCCTCTACTTCTGGCAGAGAAATGCTCTGCTCGAAGTGCTGCACATGGCATGTAAAAACTGTTTCTGACTAAAGTAATTAAAAATCAGGAAACACATCACGTCAGCTGCAGTAGTTTCCTATCCTTTGCAAACCAGAAATACATTTCTGTGATTTTAAGTGTTTACACTGCTATCGACACTACTCTCTACTAAGAACTGCAATTTAGGGATACTCTCTTACCAATCTTTCCCAGTTTAGTACGAACACAGTTCATTTTAATTACGGATACAGAAATATCTGCAATGTCATGCAGTTCCAAAGCTCTTTAGTCCTTTTCAATGAATAATTATGGGGTGCAAGTACTGCTTCTAACAATCTCAAATTACGTAGATCCCACGGAAAAGAAAGAGAAATTTTACAGCATTTTGTAAGCTCACACTCTCCCAATTTTTCATCTAATTACCTAATTATTCTCTCATTGATATAAGCTTTGTACAAAGAGTACTGAACGGGGCTACAGAAAGGTGATACCAATTAATTACTTACAGTAATTGTCATTTCATAATCACATTAAGTTTTAATTTGCTGCTGCCAGCTTGTTAAACTGCCAATTACACATTTCATTCTTTTATGTATTAAGAAAAATAGTAATCATGCACTTACTGCTTTTATAATTCCTAAGTTAATTTTGCAGCAGCTTGAGGTATGTCTTCAGTACTCTGCAGCCATGCTGAGCTCTTTGAAGAGTCCAGTGAATGGGAAATTAACATTCTGAAGCAGCCTCATTAGAACCAAATAAAATGCTCATTTGGAACACTTTAATCTCAACCATCGAGAATTATTCACTGAAAGGAGACACTAAATGACACCACAGCTTGAGTGCACACCAGTAATCAACATGATGTGATTTTTGCTGTGTATCTTCCCTTTGTGGAAGGGGAGAGGAGACAGCTTCATATTCTCCCTGTTTGGTTGTGACATGCAGGTTCCTCTACAGGCACTGAGCTGGGGATGGCAGTGCCAGCAGAGGGGCATGCAGACATTGTATAAGCTTGCAAACTGCAACTTCATCCTGCAAAACTCCAGGCAGAAGCACTTGTCCTGAACATTTCACCTGATATGGACAACACCACAAGCAATCACTACAAACTGGATGTCAGTCCAATTTCCCGTACCATAACTCTAGGATTATTCATAGCTATTTATGGTTGAAGTCCTCAAAAAACAAGAGGTATACAATTCCAAGAGAAAGAATTGGAACTCTGTCATATTAACTAGAACAGACTTCTAATATTGAATATCAGGATTCATTTTATTTCCACTGTTCCTTGATATGATGGCAAAGGTTATGTACCAACACGCTAACATTTTCAGATTTTGGTTTACTAACCCCATATCTCTCAGAGTTTCCACGTCAGATGGATCTGGCTTTTCTAAAGGAAAGGTAAGGTATGGGAAGGGAGGGGAAAAGAGAAATATTTTCCTTCAGTCTTTCTAGACCCCAGCAACCTGGCAGAAACTTGATTTCAATACAATATTGCGAAAAGTAAAAGCCACAGGCAAAACCCTCTTGAAAAGAATATAAGATCAGTTGAGGTTTAGTGAAGGTGGCAGAAAGGCTCAAAGGAAAATTTTGTTAAGAAGAAAAATGAGTGAGATTTTATTGCATAAAAAAGACATTGGGGAAAGAAACCCACTGAGATACTTAGCAATTGTGACATAGCTGCAAATCTCTCTGATCTCTTTATTTTACCTCTTTCTTTTTCTCCATGCAGTGCAGAAGAAAATGACAACCTGAAGCTCAGCAAATTGTTCCATGTGTGTTGGACACACAATATTCAATGTATGAATATATATTCCATATATTCACACATTGAATATTATATTCAATGATTATTTTATTTTCTCTCTTAGTCTGCTGAGGTTTTGCAAATTCTATCATTTCTGTACAGAGTCCAAAATAACAAGTTGTATCAAAACTAGCTGAAACACATCTCTGAATATTTCACTTTCTTTGTATTTTCATCCTTTCCTCTATTTCAACTATTTGATGCAGGTAAAGCAAAGATAACCATAGACTATTTAGGTTGAATATCACAAAATAATTTTGGCAGTGGTATTTACTGACTGGTGAAATATTGCCCCATGAAAGTGTCAGAGCCTTCACTTTAAACCATTCTTACAGCCCTCTAGGGAACAAGGCAGCACCAGCCTCCAGAAGGCAAGTCCACAATATACTCAGTCTTTCCTGCTCACAGGCTGGATAAAAACACCATCACATCTTGCCCTGCTTTAGCATTTTGGGAAATTCAGCTCTTCCACATTTTGGAATTACAGAACTAACCACAGACACACACACAAAAAAAACCAAACAAATAAAATAAAATAAAATAAAATAAAATAAAATAAAATAAAATAAAATAAAATANAAATAAAATAAAATAAAATAAAATAAAATAAAATAAAATAAAATAAAATAAAATAAAATAAAATAAAATAAAATAAAATAAAATAAAATAAAATAGTCTATTTCTACCAGAGTTTCTCTGGGTGTGTGTAAATTTCAGGGTTTTAGTTCTGGTTTGAGTAGAAAGAAATATTCAGGCCAGTTCTATTTAGTCTGAGAAAATTCACTCATTTTCAATAAAAATTATTTTCCCTACATGAAATTGTTACAGAAGTACAATAATTTCCAAAGTATGCTTTATCACTGTGACTAGAGTTACTAGTGACTACTGACTGATATCACTGGTGCAGTTTACCATATCTCTTATGGTTCAGTAGACTATATCTTTACATAAAGTAAAACAATATTTCATTGAAACATACTGAAAAACAAGATGAAACCTTGTAGTCCCAAAGTAGTCCCAAAGTCTACTATTTAAAAATAGGTCTATGTTTTTAAAAAATTAATTATTATTAAAATCACTTCTTTCTGTACAGATTTCAGTTTCAAAAATATTCAGGATGCTTATTCAGTGTAGTCCATTCCATTTGGAAAGTTTAGACATTCACCTTCAAGACTTTTAAACTCTATAATTATTATTGCTATGAGTTGTTAGTATCATAAAGCTAAGAATATTTAGATCATCAAGAAGTGGGACTCTATGGAGACACAGCAATGTATTCAAGAGGTGCTACAACATTCTACCTGATTCCTTGAACTCATCATGGAAAATGGTAATAAGAGACCCTGTCCTGATAATTTCCACCACCAAAAGTTTTCTGCCTCCTGTGACAAAATATATAGCTGATTATTTCTTCTACAATATTCCTCAACAATTTGCCTGGGATTTTCATTAAGAATAATTTCCAACTTTTCTGTGGTTGTGAAATCCAGCAATAATCAGCAGGAATTGTTATTTCCATGGGGCCTATGTGAGCAGTGTGCCACCAGTGTTTACTGTGTGAGGCTGATCATCTCTGGGTTACTGTGCTGTCATAGCTGCCAAGATCAAGTGCAACAAACCTTCAGGACCAGCAGCACTAACTTACTCTCAAGTGAAATTGCAATGGAGAATAGGCTTCTGAAGTAAAATTACTGCCATGGGGTCTTTTTTAAAGAAGAGGTCTGTCTAAAATAAAACCACTGGGTGTGTTACAGTTCTACTTAAGTGCTCTCCAAGATATTCAAGCATCAAAGTAGTTTGAAAAGAAGATCATTTATTCACCGAAGTCTATAATGAGAAACCATCACTTATCAATACATAACAATTTCCTCAAGCAGAAACCGTGACAAGTTACTGCAAATCCCAGTTCAAGACTCTTACCTGCTCTAATAGCAAGTGGACTTTTTAATGGTATCTGTGCACTTCAGCAATACTCAAAGAAAATATAATATGAAGAGAGAGAGAAAACTACTTACAAAACTGATTTTTTTTGTGTCCTTAACTTGGGAAAAATAGTTTACTAACAGCTTGTTGTGTTTGTTTGTTTACAATCTTAAATAACTTTCCTGTGTTCAGGTTTCATGATGTAGTCAGTAACTTTTTTTCCAGTATAACAGGAAATTTCTTGGGTGGTGTGAGTAGGGCCCATGCCTTTTTAACAGTGAATATATGATATAAAAACAAGCCTGCAAAGATAAATAAAAGAGTAAAATTTTAGAGAGCTCTTACTGCAGTCAACACTGCAGTGAAGTGAAGATGCTCTCTCCCTTTGATCTTAAGCAAGTTGTCTGGAGCACCGGTAGCAGTCTAGTTCTGATATTACACATCTAAGAGGGGACTATAAGAACAAAAAAAGATGCTTGGAAATATATTCTATCATTTAGAACCAGTTTGGACCCTATGTTGGCACAAGAACTTTGGCATCAGAGCTACAACTACTAAAACTGCATACACTTACATATCTACTACAGTGGATGCAACTTTAGGAGAGTGCAGGTGCAATATTAAACACTTTCAGTGCTGCTAACAGGATCACACTTGGTCTGCTCAGATATTTTTAGGTTATGTGGCCCACTAAAATTATTTTTTAAAAATTTCACCATCACTTATTGGCAATAAAAATATATTGGATAAAATCTTGCCAGGTTTTCAAGACAGCCATCAATTCAATTAATATACAAAACGCTTTGTGTCCAGTGCCCAACTTGAATGAAATAAGGAATGAGGTGTGTTTTATTACTGTTGATATTTGTGTCTTGAGACTTTCTAGTCCAATTTTACAAAACAAAATATTTAAGCTTTGATTTTGCTGTGGTCCCTGTTTGACTAGAATACATTACAGAAGCTGGTTCTCCTGAGCATCTAGCACCCAGTGCTTTTGTATTTTTCCTTTTGTTAAAGGGCAATTTCTTGGCTTAATCTGTTTGAATATCTGTTGTTATTTTTATAATGAGCATTTTATACTTTCATGCCAGGCCATGCAGATGTTTGTGCTTTAGTACCGCTATTGTTGACATTGATAGGAGTTACAGTTTTGCAATGAAAGCAGATCATTCACTATAACATGCAGAAGTAAAATTTAGGCAGCTAATCAGTAATATTTGTAAGCCCATTTAAAATAAGAATAGTGGGCAGAGGCATTCTACTCTATCTCCTTGAAGATGTGATAATAGACCTTCATAGCTCTAGGGGTCAGTTACTAAAGTTCATCAGAGGTACATGGTCAACTACTTTTTGCTAATGATCTCTTCTGAATTTCTCTCTTTCTCAGCACAGGGATTTAATCCAGAGGATAATGATTGCTCCAACTGATGTTAATTAGGAAAGTCATGATTTTCAGCAGCAACTTTGTATTTGTCGATTTCACTCAGAATCAAGAAGTAAAAATTAAACTAACTTTACTAATAAAACTTTCCAGTCATTTTAAGCATATTGGTATTCAGTATTATCCAGTAGAAAAAACAAGTTACCTTTATAATTGGTTGTATTTTTTCTATTCTTTTCAATCTGTATATTCCTTTCTGTGTTCCTCCTACCATCAGGCTTCAGTCCCATTATCTCTCTCTCTTTTTCTCCTGCATCTTATTTTTCTTTTTTTTTTTTTCCATCACTGAAGGGATAAAAGGGCTCTGTGAGGAAAAAAGTCAAACCCAAAAACCTCACTGAATTGAAAGTGTATAGTGTGCCATCTATATTATAATATATACAATATACGCACTCATGATAAATCAAGCTTTCCTATAAAACTTGACCTAACAAGCTTCCTAACATTTGAGGAGTTAACTCTGAAATTATAGGTTAGTTTAACATTATTTTTTAAAAATTAGTACTGAAGGGTCAG